AATCGGTCTGTCAAAGGATAGGCTCGGCAACCCTGCGGCACGACTTGCGCTGCAAACCCGTGAACAACACATCCGCCGTGAAAAGGCTACCAGCAACATTTGCACAGCACAGGCACTACTGGCCAACATGAGCGCCATGTACGCTGTGTACCATGGACCGAATGGTTTGACGGCGATCGCCAAGCAGGTAGTTGCAAAGGCTCGTATGCTCCAACAAGCCATCGTCGCCACTGGTTTCAAAACTGGCCAGCGCGGACAAATGGACAACGCACCTGTTTTGTTTGACACATTCGTTGTCAAGACAGGCAGCAAGACCGAAGAAATCATCATTAGTCTCGAGAACAAGGGAGTACTTGTACGAAGGATCGACGACCAGCACATCGGCATTTCCGTTGACGAAACTACTTCTGCACACATTATCGGCACAACAATTAACATTTTCAAGCACCATGGCCATCGAGCGAATGTGTCTTTTGATGAATCTGTCGATATTGAGGTTCCTGAGCCGTTCAAGAGAACTAGCGAATTCATGACCCACCCTGTTTTCAACTCGCATCACTCCGAGACCGAGCTTCTTCGCTACATCAACCATCTGTCTTCGAAGGATCTGTCTCTGGTACACTCGATGATTCCTCTTGGATCCTGCACAATGAAGCTCAACTCCACCGCGGAGATGGCGCCTGTGTCATTTGATACCGTTTCCAACCTACATCCCTTCTTGCCCCTAGAGCGAGCCAAGGGATACACCGACATGATCAAGCAGCTGGAAGACGACCTGGCTGACATCACTGGTTTCCACTCGGTCTCGCTGCAGCCCAACTCCGGTGCCCAGGGCGAGTTCACCGGTCTTCGCGTCATTCGCAAGTACCTCGAGCAGCAGCCTGGCAAGAAGCGTGATATTTGCTTGATTCCTGTCTCGGCGCACGGAACCAACCCTGCTAGTGCTGCCATGTGCGGTATGCGCGTTGTGCCCATCAAGTGCGACCAAGCGACTGGCAACCTGGATATGGCAGACTTGAAGGCCAAGTGCGAGAAACACAGCGAAGAGCTTGGTGCCTTCATGGTCACATACCCCAGTACTTTCGGTGTCTTTGAGCCCAATGTCAAGGCTGCTTGCGACCTGATCCACCAGCACGGCGGTCAAGTCTACATGGACGGTGCCAACATGAACGCCCAGATTGGTCTCTGCTCACCAGGCGAGATCGGCGCCGACGTCTGCCATCTTAACCTCCACAAGACCTTCTGCATTCCTCACGGTGGTGGTGGCCCCGGTGTAGGACCCATCGGTGTCAAGGAACACCTCTCACCCTTCTTACCAGGCCATCTCCGCGGCGAGACTGGTGGAGCTCAAGCCATCCACCCCGTGAGTGGCGCGCCCTGGGGAAGCGCCAGCATCCTCCCCATCAGCTGGGCCTACATCAAGATGATGGGCGCTGTCGGCCTTACCCAAGCCACTAAGATCACCCTCCTAAACGCAAACTACATTCTCTCCCGCCTCAAGCCCCACTACCCTATCCTCTACACCAACGATGAAGGCCGCTGCGCTCACGAGTTCATCCTCGACGTTCGCGGCTTCAAGGAAACCGCCGGCATCGAAGCTATTGACATCGCCAAGCGCCTCCAGGACTACGGTTTCCACGCCCCCACCATGAGCTGGCCCGTCGCCAACACTCTCATGATTGAGCCTACCGAGTCGGAGAGCAAGGCTGAGCTAGATCGTTTCTGCGACGCGTTGATTAGCATCAGGAAGGAGATCAAGGAGGTTGAGGAGGGTCAACAGCCCAAGGAGGGCAATGTGCTCAAGATGAGCCCGCACACACAGCAAGATCTTATCACTGGAGAGTGGGATAGGAGTTATAGCCGCGAGAAGGCGGCGTATCCTTTGTCCTACTTGAAGGCGAAGAAGTTCTGGCCTAGCGTTGCGAGGTTGGATGATGGTGAGTCTAATTTCATGATTTCTATATTCAGGTGCACCAACTAACGATATAACAGCATACGGCGACACAAACCTCTTCTGCACATGTGCGCCTGTTGAGGGCGAGGACAGCGACATCACCGGTGCCGCGGCGCCCACCCCTACCTAAATGCCTGCAACAACACGGCAAACAGTAGCAGGGTACTTCTTTTCTCAGGTTCTTCTTTTGCATCAGGGTGTGGAGCTCTTTTAGGAGCTTTTCTTCAACAAGCACCCTAGCGTGGGTGTTCCGGCGTCTACAGTACATCACCATGGGTTCAACACTTGCTGGTCGATGGATCTTTTGCTTTTCGATATGATTGGGCGGTTTATGATGCATATGTGGCGTTTCCAGGCATAGATGGGTGATGTGATATGATAGGAATAGGAATGAGACGATGTGTTTATGACGCAACAAACTGTGTTGAAATGGCTGCTGTGATGTGTGCGATACGCTGGTAGGTATCGCAAACGGTTTTAGCAACTTTCAGACGCACATGCGGGCTCAGTAGACCACGGGCAATCCTGACGCTAGCTTGACTGCGTATGTATGAATGTCCTCGCCAAGCTGTTCACCTGTTTCTCTAGTACATCATCCGTCTTCATATACCTACAAAACACAGATGGTTGTGGACCATGCTCTGACCAAAAGATTAACCATCCCACTTCCATGGCTGCCCGGGCTCCACGTCTTGTCGAAAACACGTAGACTGAACTGGCTGAACATAGATTCTTTGTCGTCTTCTTCTCTCGAAAGCAACTTGCTATTGATATCATGGCATCTTCTTCCGCCTTTTCCCGGTACTTCCAAATTGGGCACCGACACATTTGATTTGCTTCGTCGACATAAAGAAAAAAGGACAGATCTACGATGGCTGTTCTGCCTCTGTCCTCCTCTGCTGCCCCCGCAAGAGTAAGGCAAAGACAATAGGACTTCGCTGTCGTTTATTACTCCGAATCCAAAACTGGAACGAAATCGTGCATGTGTTCTGCCGGTAGAATCAAACACACGTGAACAGCAAAGTTATTCGTTCTCCCGTTCTCCAGAAACAATCCTGCATCTAAGCCATGTTCCTGATGTTTCGGAGATCGACCTTAGTACATGCATGGGTGCCGACGGGCTGCAAAAGTACAAATGAAATGCTTATGACTATGAAGAAGTGCAATCTTCTGGAGAATTAAGTTTACAAAACGAGAAAGCAAACATGCATGTGAGCGACAGTATTGTGGAGAAGGAACATGTGCCAGCGCTGCTATGAGCCATATAAGTATCCCATGGGTATGTGGGAAAGGAAAATGACGGCAATATGTTAATCTAGACTTTGGAAATATACCAGAAGATGGCACAGCGTGTACCTCTTTCTGTATACAGCTCATTTCTCGTCAGGTGTACGAAGCTAGGTTGCGACGAACAGTATAAAGTCCTGGTTTCATATGCGCTCTCTCCTTTCCCTCATAACCTACCACTTCCACAGGTTGTCCAAAAAGTATTGGATGACCAAGGAGATGAATCACCAAAAGTGATCAAGAAGCATGTGATGAGTGGGGCACGGCGCGCCGTTTCAAAAAGACCTACGAATAGTACATGTGTCCTTTGTCTCACTCTTTTGCTCAGACTCTGTTAGTTTCAAGATTCTCGTAGTGACTTGGATCAACAAATCTTAATGCTCAAGGATTGGACCCAGAACGGGAAGGTGGACACAGCTGTTTCTCAGAACAGTTAGAATGCGGCGCGGATAGAGCCGCGGTCGACACTGCCACCATGGACCCCAAACTAGCGGATTTAGCCCTCACCCTCTATCGTTCGGCCACGAGTGGGCTCTTGAGTCACATTCGCTTGCTCTGCATAGCACGAGAACTTGTCAAAACAGAAATTATATCACCCACTCAAGGACTTGTTCTGCGCCACCACTGAGTCCACTGTGCCAGCGCACTGTCAAAACGCTGACCCTCATCATATCAACATCGTCTTCGACTGTTCTTCGCACCCACATGACAACCTTTCATCCCTTTCCTCGTCTACCATACGAGCTGCGGATGCAAATATGGGAAGCGACAGTTGAGCCCCGCGTGGTAAACTTTGAATTTATCTATCAGCGCAGGTGGAGAATACCTCCCGAGCGACCAACTTACATCAAATCTTCCACACCTGTACCCGCCGTGCTTCAGACCTGCCAAGAAGCACGAAATCATGGGTTGTACCAGAAATGTTTCTCGGAGATTGCTATACCGGGGCACGGCGCGCAGTAGGTACCCATTATATACTCTGGTGTGCATCCCATGCTAAAGCACTACGCAAAAATGTAGGTACGTATGGGCTAATCTTGACATGGATACCATCGACATTGGAGAGTCCATGTTCGAAAATTTCAAGCCGGTCGCTCCGCTCATTCACCGACTGAAGTTCGCACGTGAAATGCAGTCGGAGTTCTTCTACCATTCGGAAGTTCGAGAGGTCCAGGATTTTGTCAATGCGAAGGAGATTTGGATCGTGCCTCTAGATGGCTTAAATTCATGTGTCGGAGCCACGGAAGAACATTATTGGCCATGTGGGAAAGACAATATTTTCTATATTGATCCTGATAATCCCGAACGAGTTTTCATAGGTAGTGATGGAGAAGATGAGATTGACACGCTCTATGGGCCAGTGGAACTGTATCAGTAGGCATATGTGCAGCTTCTTTTACTTGTTCAATGCATGCTAGGAATGGGACGTCACCATAGAAATGCATATTGATTCTACTTCTCTATACCATTATGACGCGTCTCGACATACTGCTTCCCTCCCCAAGTAACCACCATGAAGCATTAGTGATCTCTCAGTAACAGTCACTCTTTCTGGACTTTTTCACTGCAGTGCGATCAACCCTCGGATCTAGCGCATTCATGAGGCCACTCTTGTGAGAATTCGTGGTCGACTTAGGCTCTTTCTTCATTGTCTTGGGTCCAACAATGGGGGGCAGAGGGATCGACTTTTGCTTCTAGAGACCGTAGTGTATTAGCCACACTTCCGCTTGCTACCTGACATGACACGAATAGCTGCAAGCTACTTCAGTCTTTGGAACGAGAACTTACGGCTTCTTCGGCGTGACTGGCGAAGTAGCGCATCGTCTGAGTCGGGCGAATATCTTCCCAATTCTGACTGCGATGGATACTCGTAGCATGCATCGTATTGGGACATAGGCTCTGTAGTAGCGCGGTTTGGCTGATGGTATTGCTGCGAGTCAGCATCCCGCTCGAGCATGTTCAGGACGCTGCTTTGGTGTGTGGGTTTTGGTTGATGGTACGATGAGTCGGGTTGGCTATAGCCGGGGCCACGAGCGGACACTTCGTCTGTGAGACGGGCTGTCGCTTCTTCAGGAGGGTCAAGCTTCTGAGCAGCCTCAAGACCGGATGCGCCACTGATCGAGCCGCGGAGATGGTGGATGTTGGGGTGGTCAGCGTACTTCATCGATTCTTCATCAGGCCCAGCAACGAATATAGGATCGAGTTTGTTTGCAGCCTCTAATCCGGATGAACCACCGATCGAGCCTCGGTGCTCATGGGGAAGATGTCCCCCATGTTGCTGTTCGTGTGGCGGGTGCCAGGCCTCGTCGAACCCTTTCGAGGGCTGCCATCCGAAGTCTTTCTCGGCTATACTTCATCAGCCCCGTCTCGGATAGCATATTGTAAGGGAAAACATCATGAAGAATTCGTGGTATGTGTAGTTCAGGGTGTTGAATCTCACCTGTACCGTCAGTCTGCGTCGTGGGAAGCGAAGAGTGAAGATGAGCTGACACGTCAGCGAGAGCAACAAAACGAAGGAATCGGTACGAGGAAAAGGGTATATTGATGTCAAAGTGCGCAGTGTATCGTCTATCTACGTGTCTCGTAGCCCGTACCGCCAACGTTCGATGTAGGATCAGCGCGATGGTCAACATCCGAGTCGAAGCGCGGGTCAAGCTTGTTACCAACGTTGGTCGAGTGCGGTCCAGCATTTGTTGAGCCGGTTGCAGTTCCCCTGTGGTCCATATCCGAGTCGTACCTGGGGTCGACCTTGTTGCCAATGTTTGAGTTATGCGAGCCGTAGTTTGTGGCTGTGGTGTTGGTCGTGTTCATGCGTTCGCGGTGGGCATCAGTGTCGGCAGGAGTGACACCAGCGTCGGCAGGGTGGCCTCGGTAGCCTCGGTCCCATTCGTCGACTCCCTTGTTGGCGATTTCCTGGTTCTTGGTTGCGCTCGCCTTGTCGCCGCTCGCGTCATCGACTATGGCCATGGCATTGCCGCGGATGGCCTCGCCAGTTCCCTATGAATGTCAGTACGATTTGATGTCAAGATAGTCCCAAGGGACGGGTTGTGCAAACTTACGTGGACCATACCCACGCCCTTGCGGATAGAGTCGCCAAGAGTCATGTTGGAGGTATATGTATTAGATGTATGTGTAGGTGATGGCCAAAAGCTCGTGTAGCTGTAGGGGTATGCGTAAAAGTTGGGGTATCAGGGTATAATGTGATTATAGTAATGAGCAGAAAGTTGGGAAAGGTCTGAACATAAGTGTTCGACGCTGGCAGCCGCTGCCACACAACCTGCTTTTGCGATTGACATGATTTGCATTGTTTTCGCGAAGTTTGGGAAAGCGCATTGCGACATAGGCTCGAAGATGTGATGTCATGCTCCGCGTGCAGGATTCGCGGACGATGCCGGTAGGGCTGAGCTAGCCACATCGGGGGCCTTTGCGTGTCGAGCATATTCCGTTAGGATGCACTTTTACGGTGATATGACATCGATGCTCACTTTCATATGAGCATGTAGATTAGATTGTCAGCACCTTCTATCGAATGATAGTACCGACAGTAAGGAGCTAACTATCACTATATCCTGTATACTGCATCAACCTGCCCACGCTGTAACAAACTGTATCCAAGCACCTTGAGCACAAAAGTCTTCAAACCTCCGATCCAATCACACCATGTGGTCTTACTACAACCAGGTTGCATCGAGACAACCATCAATCACTATCAATCACTCTGTACACATGTTTTCGAAACACTCTTTACATTATATTCATCAAAATGTAAACATCCGACGTCTCCATTTTGCAGTAGAAAATTGCATAGCAAGGCGCATCAAGGTTTTAACCAGATAGTAAAAGAAGCTGCAGCGAGAAAACTGAAAGGTGATGGAGAGTTTTTGTTCTCCTGAGAAGGCAGTTGTAATTATCATCAACACCTATGTCTAAATTTGCGATTTGCATGTCATCAAAGTCGTGATCGCGACGCGTCCGAGCCGTAGCCGGGTCGCCGCCCTCCTCTCACGCCCATTCGCCAACGCCTTTTCTCCGTTAACCGAGTTCATCTCTGCTTCGGAATGTTGAGAAGCTTTTTAGGCCTTGCCAGCAGTGTAGAAGTCATCGAGAGCAACCTTGAGCCTCTGGCTCATGGTCTTCTCACCCTCGCGTACCCACACCCTCGGGTCGTAGCTGGCAAACGTCAGTATATATCTCACATAAAGTTTGTATAGGAATACTCACAACTTCTTGTTGGGCTTGTCCTCGCCGTCTGGGTTACCAACTTGAGTGAGGAGGTAGTCCTAGAACAGGAAGTCAGTATATGTCTCATGACCATTCCATATAACCGCAACTCACCTTCTTGTTAAGGACGTAGTCGCGAACACCCGACAAGTAGGCCCATTGCATATCGGTGTCGAGGTTGACCTTGACGACACCGTATGAGATCGCCTGACGGAAGTCATCGACAGAGCTGCCGCTGCCACCGTGGAAGACGAGGAAGACGGGCTTGTCGTCCTTGCTCTTGACTTGCTCCTTGACGAACTGCTGGTGCTTCTGGAGCAATTCGGGGCGGAGCTTGACGTTACCAGGCTTGTAAACACCATGGACGTTACCGAAGCCAGCGGCGATCGAGAAGTACTGGGAGACCTCGCTCAAGGTCTTGTAGATGTCAAAAATGTCTTCAGGCTGGGTGTCTAATTGTGGGTGTACGAAGTTAGTGTATGTCTCACAGGCAGTTCGTACAGGCACACTTACAGAGCGAGTTGTTGTCAACATCCTCGTTGTTGACACCATCCTCTTCACCACCGGTGATTCCGATCTCCATCTCCAAGAATTGCTTCATGGGAGCAGCGCGCTGGAGGTACTTCTTGGTGGTCTCAATGTTCTCCTCCTTGCTCTCCTCTGAGAGATCAATCATGTGGGAGCTGAACAGCGGTACGCCATTTGCCTTGAAAAACTTCTCGTCCTCGTCGAGCATGCCGTCCAACCAGGGCAGAAGCTTCTTGGCGCAGTGGTCGGTGTGCTGCAGATTTGAAAATACGAAGTCAGTGTATGTCTCACATGCATTTCGTATAGGCACAACTCACGAGAACAACGGGGATACCGTATGCGGGCGCAATTGCGCGGATGTAGTGAGCACCGGCGATGGCTCCCTGGATGGAAGCGCTCTGGTCCTTGTTGTCGACGCCCTTTCCGGCGAAGTATGCGGCACCACCCTGGCTCATCTGGAGGATGATGGGAGACTTGGCATCGCGGGCAGCCTCGAGGGATGCGACGACGGTGGAGGAGGAAGTCACGTTGATCGCGGGGATGGCGTATCCCTCGGATTGTGCGTGCTTGAAGAGGTTGTAGACCTGGAGTATGTCAACTGCTTGCTCGAGGCAAAGGCGAGAATCAATTCGCGTACATCGTCACCGTAGATGACACCAGTCCTAAGGCGATGGTTGTTAGCGTCAGCTCATGATCATGCGAGCGGGGTCCATGTAACCTACTTTCCCTTGAGAACCTCGGAAGCTTGAACCATGTTTGCGATTGTAGTTGGTGTTTGTTGGGGTATGGGTATGTGTTGGATTGTAGAATTCAGAAATTGGGATTGTGAAAAGGTGTAGGTGTAGTATGGAGAGAGAAGTTTGCGCCGTGTTGAGAGCTATCTAGTTAAAGTTCAAACATGGTAGTGGGGTTGGCGGACCACAAAAAACAACCCCGCTAATGACCGCAGCAGTGACGCAGCTGCTGGTTCCGCGCCAGCTTCCCTCACCAGGCCTACCCACGGCGCATGGTAAAAGCAATTCAACCCCCACGAATTTTTCCATTTGTGAAATATGATACGTTGACTGTTGAATTTTCTCATTCCTGCGTATCGCACAATGGCCTCACTCAATCATTTGGCTCGCATCCGTGGAAGGGCGCATTCCATCATGCTCGTTTGGTCTGAGACACGATGATGCTTCACGGCCGCGCTCTGAAGTCATGGCGGGGCCGCTTTCGCTCGGCAGCGCGGAAGTAAAGTGGACTGTCTTTTCACCTTAGCTCGGTGAAGCATCATTGCAATCCACAGGTGACATGTTGTCCGAGTCTCGCCGCAAAACGCTATCTCGCCTTACGCCTCGAATTACCGAGCCAGCCACTTCTTCCATGTTACTCAGCTCCGTCTAGAGCATGCAAGGTCCCACCAATGAAGTCACTCTGATGATGCGGGACAAGACATATGCGCCATATCGTGATCATAATTGAGGTGTTGTTGAATTTTTCCGATATGCGGAAATGCAAATGACATGGATGGCACAGGTATATCTTTACAGCGAGGCGGAGGAATCCTCGGAAGGTGAGGTTCTGGGCCTCTCCAGATGTCCGGAAGTTGGGGTCTACGATATGTTGCGGCCAGTTAACCAAGCCTCATGATTCCGATCCCTTCGCTCTGATCCGGATATTCCTCACGATAGGTTCCTCTACGCCGGGTAACCGTATCTCGGCCTTGAATGTGCCCAGCTGCTTGACACGCGATGTGTCGCCCTCCTCGTGCCCAGAGAGGAACTTGACGTCTGCCTCATTCAGTATCACGCGGGCCGCCTCGTCGTTGTGCGCCAGCGCTCCCTTTATAGTGGCCACGAGATCGGTGCTTGAGACAGAGCCGTAGATAGCATCTGCAGACGCCTTCTTGCCCATCGCCGCTGCAGTCAAAATGTCTGCTGCACCAGACGCACCCATGCGCCCGCTCGATGGGCTGTCTTGCTCAATTCGCTGGCGGTAAAAGTCGATCGTGGGTGGTACAAACGCATCGAGGAGCTCCATGGATCGCTCAGGCTATTCTCGTCAGTATTGGTGGTTACAACGACCAGACACGGGACATACGCTGAGCACATCGATTTCAATCGGCCGTACATAGTGTTTCGGCTGCTTCATGAAGTCGACCTCCTCTTCCTCCGCCTCCTCCAGGTTCAGTCGTACGCCATATGAGAAGTCGCGGCCCATGTCCACATCCTGCGCCTTGAGCTGCTTCATTTGGGTAGCGGGAACATAGTCGGCGACGCGTGCGGGGAACCATCGGTTACGCATGAGAGAAGGGTTGAGCGGGACATATGAGCCTTTGTAGTATTAGCCATGTCGAACTGGTGTTTGTTGTGACCACTTTGACAGCTTCAAGGGACTTGCAAAGGGCACATGTCAAACTTCTGCAGTAAATGCATCGTACCTGCGCGACCGAATCTTGGCACATCCTTTAGTAGCTTCACGACAATGTTGCGCTCTGCCTCTTTCGCCTTCTTTGAGATGGTGCGGGTCTGCTGCGACGCCGAAACCCCCAAATTTTGCCGCGTCACCCTCCGTATACACGACGTGCACTGCGGGAGCAGCGTCGAGGTCCTTAGTGAAGCCATTGGGCGTGTCGTGGTGAGGCGTGCTTAATTTCAAGAAAAGTGCAAGACGTCCATCAGATGTGGAGATCCTTGCGACGGAGGGCGGAAGGTGCCAATGGCCGGTGCTACTTGCCGTAGGCTCGGCATACTTTGCGCCCGCCTCACGAGCAAACGACAGATGACGGCCAGCGCGATATCCCAAGCTGGGCAGCAGTCAGACCATGGCTGATGCGGTAGTCAGCCATACTCTACGCCCTATCCATAGCATTTTCGCAGCACAACCTTAGCACGACCGAGCACAGCGTCCGCGACACCGTACACGACCCCCGATCCTCCATCCAATCCCGCGGTAGCGGGAGTGACAGGCGCCGCAAGATGCCTGAGAAGCCCCTCACAATTGCAACCTACGCCGCAGGAGCCTCCCTCGCCGCCATTACCCTGGTCTACGTCTTTGGCCCGACGTACTTTCTCGACGACGATGCAAATGCAGCTAGCAGTAAGAAGAAGGGCGTAGTGGGTCTCAGCAATGCGGCCAACGACTGCTTCATCAATTCTGTGCTGCAGGCACTTGCCGGCCTGCCAGACTTGCGCATATATCTCATACGAGAAACGCACAGGCGCATGCTCGATGGACCAGAAGTTTATGATGTGGACCCTGAAAGGTTGAATGCCGAGACAGGGACCGCAAGGCCCGCAAAGCTACAGGGCCTGCAGAGAGGCATTCTGACCCATGGACTGAAGGACATCCTCGACAAGCTTAACGAGCGGCCTATATACAAGAAGACTATCTCTCCGCAACCCTTTATTCGGTCGCTCGAGCATGCATTCGGCACCCGGATCAGCCGGCAACAGCAGGATGCGCAGGAATTTCTCCAGATAGTCACCGAGCGCCTATGCGACGAGTACCATGCGGGCGGAAAGGCCAGGCGACAGGCTACACGGTCAGGCATCACCATCACAACTGGGGACGGCGCATCGGAAAGGAGAGAGGTCGAGCAGCAGTTCGGCGCAGCACCGCCTGAAGGCTCTGGTAGTGATGGTGTCGAGGAAGAGCTGGGAGAGGACGAAGCACCCGCAGATGAGGAAGGCTTTCCGTTCGAGGGCAAGATCGAATCGCAGATTGAGTGCGAGACATGTCACTTCAAGCCGAAGCCTACCGTGTCGACCTTTGTCACTCTGACCCTGAACGTACCGCAAGCCTCTTCCACCTCTCTCAACGCCTGTCTTGACGGAATGCTCAAGGTTGAATACATCGACGATTTCAAGTGCGAGCGCTGTCGGCTAGAGCATGCGCTGAGGAGCAAAGATCATCAGCTTTCGCGAACAACTGACCCAGATGCACAGTCGCTTTTACAATCAGACATCGCCAAGATCCGACAAGCGTTGGAGGAAGACCCTGAACAGCCGCCTGAAGGTGTCGAGCTTCCGGATACAAGCCAGGCACCCAAGCGTCGCATATCGCGTCACATGTACATCTCGCAGTTCCCCAAGGTTCTTGCGATACATCTGTCACGATCAACATTCGCCATCGGTGCTGCCTCGACGAAGAATATGGCCAAGGTCGCCTTCCCTGAAGCTCTGCCTCTGGGTGGACTATTAAGCCGCAAAAACTACCGCCTTCTTGGGATGGTCACACACAAGGGCAGTCACAACAGCGGTCACTATGAATCCTTCCGCCGTCAAGTGCAGCCTCTCCCATTCTCCACAAATGCGACGCTTGGTACTGAAGGCGCGTACAGTCGCCAAGCCAGTCCATACCCGTCCGCAGCACCGTCAGTAGCACCTTCAGCTATGCAAAGCCCGCGGATCTCAGCACTTAATCTCTCCAATACGGTGGACCGCGGCTCACCAGTCCCATCCACACCCACACTGAACTCTCCTTCGACACGGTCGCTATCTTCCCAAGATACCATACCTTCTTCATCAAGAGGGCCAGCGCCGACTTCCGCGCCGCGGATGCATGACTCTGATCCACTGCAAACGATACCATCCTCTACCGAGACAGGAACTGGTAGCGATTCTTTGTCACGTACGAGGAGTGTCCGATCGCTGAAGGAGCGCGCATCAGAGAAAGCGTCATCGATAAAAGAGTCAAACCCTCTGCGACGAAAGTCGAAAAAGACAAGCAATAGATGGTGGCGTATAAGCGACGATAAGATCAAGGAGAGCAAGACGTCCGAAGTCTTGAACATGCAGAAGGACGTATACTTGTTGTTTTATGAGCTGAACAAGATTTGACCCCAGAATAGATAGCTATTGTACAGACAATGGCGGGTATGCGAATCTGTATCTCTGAGATACCAATGGTGACGGTGAAGTGGAAAAGCTTGGGGTAGATATCACTCGATTTGAAAGCGAGACACACGAATGAAAAATGTGTGACATGATGCAATTAAATCAGTACAAGTGATCGAAAACACCTTTACTCTCAATACTTCTAGGACCACCTACGATACTCATGCACCGCGGGTACTACGTTGCTGGAGTGGCTTTATCAGCAATGATCTTATTGGCCAACGATACACGTGGCGTTCTTCACCCAACGGTAACTACCAATCGTGACAGTGCCTAGCCTGCAATGCAACAACATCAATGCTACGCTCGTAGTCAAACCTCACCTCCCCCTCATTTGTGTTGTCCGGTCACCAAAAAGGGCAATTGCCGCGCAGACCTGTTAGTCGCCCGGTCCTCCGCATCGTCTAACACGTATCGCATTCCAACGGGCTGAAGGAAGCTGTCAAACACATAAGATACGAGTACGCTTGACTTGGTTCCGACGTTGTATGCAATACATTAGTCCGACCCAATCTATATCAATAGCTGGAGGGGTATTAGCCATACCGATCGGTTCCTACCCTGCACCCATTACTAGTATCTTTTCAAACCAATATCTCCTCGCTTCAACACAGCTTTTGTCGAAACATCAGCAACATGCCAAGCCTCGAAGCAGATGAGACAGCTTTCCTCCAGGCCGTGGGAAAGCAGACCTTTACGAATCCACCTCGCGTCCTCATCATCGGGGCAGGGAGTCGTGGCACTGCTTATGCTGAAGCCGCGCTTTCTTCAACAAATTCTATCATCGCGGCTGTATGTGAGCCCAGTGACTACAAACGCTGTGAATTTGGTCGCAAATTCATCTGGGGCAGTGGGAATGAAGCCACTGGCAACCAAGCATTCCGTAGTTGGAAAGACTGGAAGGAGTATGAGGTGAAGAGAAGAGAGCAAGAAAGAGCTGGTCACGACGTAGACAAAGGCGTCAATGCAGTGTTCGTCTGTGTACTCGATGAGTTGCATGAGGAGGTCATCTGTGGTATCGCTGACATGGGCGTACACATCTCGTGTGAGAAACCGATGAGTACGAGGTTGGACAGTTGCATGAGGATGTACAGAGCACTCAAGGCCCCCAACGGCGAAAGCAACGCCAAGGAAACGATCTTTGGCATCTGCCACGTCTTGCGCTATTCGCCGCATAACATGTTACTGAGACATCTGGTGCTTGAGAAAGACGTTATTGGAGATGTGCTAAGCATCGAACATGTCGAACCGGTTGGCTGGTGGCATTTCTCACATAGCTATGTGAGGTATGATCAACCTGACCACTGCTTCTAGAGTCTAGTACTAATAGAAACAGGGGAAACTGGAGGAAAGAGTCAAAGACTGCGCCATCTTTGCTTACAAAATCATGCCACGATATCGATTTCCTCATGTGGATGCTCTGCTCGCCTGGTCCGAACGCGGATAATGCGACACCTCACCTTCCTTCGTTAATCACATCTACAGGGTCTCGCAACTTCTTCCGCAGGGAGCGCAAACCGAAGGCAGCTGGGTCAGCTACGAACTGTCTTTCCTGCGGGCACGAGTCTAGATGCGACTACAGTGCGAAGAAGATTTATCTCGAGAGGCATCTGAACAACGGCAACGCGGATTGGCCAGTCAAGATTGTGAATCCAGAGATCGAAGATATCTACAAGACTATGGGAAAAGAAGCAGCTGGAAAGCAGCTTCTCAAAGATCTGGCTGAAGACTACAGCGTCGACGCTCCAACCAGTGAAGTAGAACAACGCCCATGGTTTGGGCGATGTGTCTGGGAGTCAGATAATGATGTCTGTGATGACCAGATGGTCACTATCACCTGGGATGACGATTCCATTGCAAAAGACGACGATGGCCTACCTTTACTATACGGTCGCGGCGCAAAGACAGCGCAATTCCACATGATCGCTTTTACTGAGAAGCAATGCGAACGGCGAGGGCGTATCTACGGTACCAAAGGCGAGATTGAGTATGATAGCACCAACATCAAAGTTCACGACTTCTCCACAGGGCAATCCAAAACCCATAGTCCCCATCTTGCAGGCGGTGGTCACGGCGGGGGTGACGAGGGACTTGCGCGACAATTCCTGATGGCGGTCAACGCTGTCGACGCTGGCGCCATGCCTGCGTCAGACGCTCAGCGACAGTACCTCGGATGCGACCTTGAGGAGGCGTTCCGCAGCCATGCCATGGTTTTTGCGGCCGAAGACGCTCGAACGAAGCGCCAAGTGGTCGACTGGAAGAAGTGGTGGGCCGAGTCGGTGGAGTCTCAATTACACCAGCGGTAACCTGGCATGCGTAAGGGATGATGACAGTTCAGGCCAGCAAGGAGAACACGGAGGATAGTTTCTATCGGTCGCCGAGATTTGCGGCAATGTACAAGGGCGC